ACGCCAGTGAAGATATCAATTTCATCCGCTTAATGCGAAGCTTCTCCAATTTTCTGGTTTTAAGAAAAGTATCCTCCCCATAGAGGTTAGTCAGTTTAACACGTAAGCTTTCGCGACCAATATGAATAATATTGGTCGCGAAAGCCTACGTGTTAAACTGTGTGTGTGTACACTGTATGTTTGTGTGTGTACACTGTGTGTGTGTACAAACTGTTTGTGTACACTGTTTGTGTGTACAAACTGTGTGTGTACACTGTGTGTGTGTGTACAAACTGTGTGTGTGTACACTGTGTGTGTACAAACTGTGTGTACACTGTGTGTGTGTACAAACTGTGTGTGTACACTGTGGGTGTACAAACTGTGTGTGTGTACACTGTGTACAAACTGTGTGTGTGTACACTGTGTGTACAAACTGTGTGTGTGTACAAACTGTGTGTGTTCAAACTGTGTGTACAAACTGTGTGTGTGTACACTGTGTGTACAAACTGTGTGTGTGTACACTGTGTTTGTACAAACTGTGTGTGTGTACACTGTATGTGTGTGTGTACAAACTGTGTGTGTGTACACTGTGTGTGTGTACAAACTGTGTGTGTGTACACTGTGTGTGTGTACAAACTGTATGTGTGTGTGCACACTGTGTGTGTGTACAAACTGTGTGTGTGTACACTGTGTGTGTGTGTGTACAAACTGTGTGTGTGTGTGTGTGTACAAACTGTGTGTGTGTACAACTGTGTGTGTGTACAAACTGTGTGTACAAACTGTGTGTGTGTACAAACTGTGTATGTGGTGTGTACAGTGCGTGTGTACAAACTGTGTATGTGTACACTGTGTGTGTACACTGTACACTGTGTATGGGTGTACAAACTGTGTGTGTGTACACTGTGTGTATACACTGTGTGTGTACACTGTGTGTGTACAAACTGTGTGTGTGTTCAAACTGTGTGTGTGTACACTGTGTGTGTGTACACTGTGTGTGTAAACTGTGTGTGTGTACAAACTGTGTGTGTTCAAACTGTGTGTGTGTGTACACTGTGTGTGTGTACACTGTGTGTGTACAAACTGTGTGTGTGTACAAACTGTGTATGTGTGCACTGTGTGTACAAACTCTGTGTGTGTACACTGTGTGTGTGTGTGTGTGCAAACTGTGTGTGTGTACAAACTGTGTGTGTGTACAAACTGTGTGTGTACACTCTGTGTGTGTGTACACTCTGTGTGTGTTTACAAACTGTGTGTGTGTACACTGTGTGTGTGTGTACAAACTGTGTGTGTGTGTACACTGCAGGGGGCACAGGTGGTGTATTGGCCAGTCATCTCAGTTGTGGTGCCACGACCACGGAGCAACTCCGCAAACACCACAATCCCCTCCCGGCCCCCGACTAAGCACACAACCCACACACAGCACACCCCCCTAGTAGTGTCCTGACGGGAGGTTTTCTGGCACATCGGGTTTTAATCTAAAGGGCGCCTAGAGGGAGAGTCCCACAGTTTCCCGGTTGCAGGAGATTGGCCGACCCCCACAGGACAGGTTACATTGCGGTGCCCCTAAATTGGCTGAAGATTTTATGGGCGCAGAAGGGAATGGTTCACTGGACCAACTGCGGTGAGTTACTCACGACCTTGGGATAGGCGGAGTGTGGAATAATGGGCCAGAAGAGCAGACCAGTGGGTTAGAATTAATGAGCACGGGAGGACAATGGGTGAGCGGCAGCAGACCCCGTGGCCCTCCATTTAGACGGCGCAGGTTAAGCGCGCGATTGGCCGCGCGGTACAATTCCACCCCGGGCCTTTTAAGTTTAGAGAATGAAGGTGGGAGCCCCGGGACGATTGGGGCAGTTGTCTTCAACCTTCGGGCAATCCAGAGCCACTGCCTGCCGTCCTGCCTCCTCGAGCCGCTCGCAGCGTCCATGTGATGCCAGCGAGTGCTGCTATGAGGCAGCGATAGGCAAGGGTTTCGCTCGTCCTTCTCCCTCTGACTCTCATAGCGTCCGTGCGATGCCGTGAGTACAGCTACGAGGTACATGGTAGGACGTTTGTGTAACTGGGGGCATAGGCAGAGTTAGGCTAGGCTCTCCTCACGAAATATTCCCCCTCCAGGTAGCGGGTTTTGTGCCGTTGATAAACTTTAGTTCATTTCTGTGTGTGTGGGTAGAGCCTCGGCGTGGAGTCTGTGATTTTTGTGGGGAGGCGGTGTGCATGAGAGGGTGTGCATGAGAGGGTGTGCGCGGGGCTGCAGGGTTTCGGCGTGGGGCCCGCTTGCTGGCACTCGCGCGCACTTACACAGCATGTGCATAGTAAAAACAGCCTTAGCGGCGAGGCGTGCACCCAGAGTCCTGCCGCAGCCATCCCTTTTTCGTTATCATTAGCATTGGTACACAGCGGATTAGGGCCTCGCCACGGTACATTCTAAATCCACTCACACGCTCACTCACCCTCATGCAGAACAAGGGGAGTACATTCCAACTCCACTCACTCACACGCTCACTCACCCTCATGCAGAACAAGGGGAGTGCATTCCAACTCCACTCACTCACACGCTCACTCACCCTCATGCAGAACAAGGGGAGTGCATTCCAACTCCACTCACACGCTCACTCACCCTCATGCAGAACAAGGGGAGTACATTCCTACTCCACTCACTCACATGCTCACTCACCCTCATGCAGAACATGGGGAGTACATTCCAACTCCACTCACTCACACGCTCACTCACCCTCATGCAGAACAAGGGGAGTACATGCCAACTCCACTCACATGCTCAATCACCCTCATGCAGAACAAGGGGAGTACATTCCTACTCCACTCATTCACATGCTCACTCACCCTCATGCAGAACAAGGGGAGTACATTCCTACTCCACTCACTCACACGCTCACTCACCCTCATGCAGAACAAGGGGAGTACATTCCTACTCCACTCACTCACACGCTCACTCACCCTCATGCAGAACAAGGGGAGTACATGCCAACCCCACCCAAAAAAGCACACGAGTCTGGAATCGATCCCAGACCCATTCTGGTGCACCACTCTGCCCCCCAATAGAGCATGAAAGGATATATTGTTACATGACAATACATAAGGTTTTGAATACGACTAGTTGCATGTTTTATTAACATCCACTTATCAATATGTAATCAGCATCCCCGACATGGGTTAAACTTCAGTTGTATTTATTCTCAAGTTGCAGTACAGCACGTGTCTCCCTTCGCGGCTGGCTTCTCTTTTGCTCTCGGGACGGCGGCGCACGCTTTGCCTCCCGCCGCAGTGGCACTCGCTCTCTCTCCGCCTCGCCGCTGGCTGACGGCGTGTCGGAGAGAGGGGAGGCTCAGCTGGTGGAGCCCGCCACGTGGCCGATGGGTGGTAGCGCAGGCGGTGACGACGTTCGGACCCGGGCTCTTCACACCGACGACCCAGAGTCCTCTGCTGCTTCTGCTTATATCCCTCTCGGCGGGGCTAAGCTCCGCCTCTAGCCACGCCCCTCTCGGAACATTCTAGAGGGCTCTCGAGGCTTCCCGCTAGCTCTACCCATTTACCTTTCACCCAGATGGGATCCCCCTTACTGATTGGATGTGAGACAACATAGCACGTGTCTGCAATAACCCCCCGGTCGTCCTGTAGGTGGCGCACTCTCATTACAAATACATAAGTGCCATGATATCTGGGTTAAGCATATAAACTTGTTAACGATTTATGGAAGTTTTGTATTGAAGTATTCTACCAAAGGATCATCCCTAAGATAAACACGTACAAATTACATAAATTCTCCACTCTCACTCACTCTTCTCCTCACCATCCTCCTGTCACTCACCCTTCTCCTCACGCTCACTCACCCTTCTCCTGTCACTCTTCTCCTGTCACTCACCCTTCTCACTCTCCCCCTTCTCCTCACTCTCACTCACCTTCCCCTCACTCTCACTCACCCTTCTCCTGTCACTCACCTGTCTCCTCACCCATCTCCCTCGGGGCAGCAGCGGCCCGAGCACGGCTCTGCCTCAGGGCAGCATCGGGGGGCATACATGTTTGGGGGGGGCTTGCTCGGGGTCACATGACGCACTTAAACCAATCCGGGGGCGTTAATCACAGTCACAGAATGACAGGACAGATCTGTGATATTATATATGTAGATAAAGAATAGTAATAGCATTTTGCTGTATATGTTTAAAACTGGTTTGCAAGATTGATAATACGTGATAATGATGATTTCTGCTAAATAATCCATCGTGAAACTATCTAATGCAACAATTCAGAAATGTCAACTCCATGTATTGTTTAGGAATACATTAACACGGCTTTATAATTTAAAATGAGCTGTGTGTATCAACAGCTGGTGTTGTTACATATTCAAATATACAACTATATACATTTGGATGTATAAATATATTCCTACTGAATCTATTAATGTTTAATGTGAGTCTTTACTAGCTCATTTGGCCCAAAACACCTGTCATAAATTATCACTCAAATTCAAAGTTTAATATCGTATGTACATTTTTTTTATCACCACAGGATTTACTTTTTAAAATCCTGCACCATCCTCTGGGATTTGACTATCCTCCGTGGACATGAGTCATGAAAACAATAAGCTCATTAGAGACTGGTAGAACATGCACACTGAACATTTATTTGAATAAATTTGTGCCACATTTTAAATGTTTTAACCTGAAAACATTTCGAGTGGTACTCCCAAAAGCAATAGAAATAATTAGGATTGGTTTAAAATAAACCAATGTTAACTTCCCTAGCTTCCATAAGACATACCAATACAACCCCTATTGTGCCCTGGTGGATTCAAATGCAGAAAAAAATGAAGATAACAAATTTTAACTGTAAACGCAATCATAAGATTAGCAAATAATATGTCCCATACATTGACCACATTCGCAAACGGAAAACTCACAAACACCGGTGTTTAACTCAAATTGCAAGACCGCAAAAAACGCAAGATGACAATCAACGCCACCGCCGCCACCGCCGCCCGTTGTGCCTACTCATTCCAGAAGACCCTAGTTGAGGACCTTGTTGACATTTCTGATCAGAGTGGCATTGTATCTCCACAGCGTGAGGTCCACGACCAGCGAGTCGAGCGGCAGGTCGGGCTGCTTGGGCGATCGGTAGTGGTGCATGATCGCGATGTCTCCGGGCACCGTCTGCGAGATGCCCAGCGCGTTGAGCGTACTGTGCACCGACGTCTGCAGCACCGCGCGTGGGTTCAGGATCATCTTGGTCGGGTTGAAGACCTCCGGCAGGTTTGGCTCCCGTCTAATGTGGCGCATGATGTTGACGCCCGGGATGGCGTTCCACGCCTGGAACTTCGACCCAAACTCTTCCGATACCGTGTAGGGAAACACGTGGGTTTTCGAATGTGTAAATGTCGGCGCCGTACTTGTCGTTCAAGTACCGCATGAGGTCCTTCCAGTTTGTGTGCTTCAAAGGGATGATCACTTCGTCGATGTCCGTGAGGACCAGGTAGCGCGTGCTGTACATGTGCCGATACACGCAGTCGTTCAGCGCCACTATCTGGCCATAGTAGTGCAGCTCGCCTGGGTGCTCGGGGTAGTGCCACCCTCTGGACACCCGCACGTAGTCCGTGATGGGCCACTGAACGACCTCGACGAGGCCGGTCTTGATGTAGTAGAGGAGCACTTTGTTCAGCTCAGAGCTGCAGCTTGTGTTGTACACCGTCACGCGGCCCGCACCCAAGATGCGGTACATTTCGATCGCCTGCACGAACTGCAGGACGTTGCCGTAGTTCCCGAAGAGCGTGGAGATGCAGACGCTGAATTCCTGTGTGATGGTGGGGGGCATGTAGAGCCGATTTCGCACGGGCATGAAGACCCACTCGGCCTCTTCCTCGTCCGGTATTGTGCGCATGCGCTGGACGGACACGTGTCCCGGCTCGCAGTCCAGCGGCTCCGTGCACAGGAAGTCGGCCGTGCCGTACGGGAAGTCAAAGTGATCCGAGTGGACGTAGGCGCTGGCGGTGACCGTCAGGATCTCCGAGTGCCCTCGGCAGCAGAAGTGGCAGGAGAGCACGTTCGGCTCATACTGGTTGGCGATGCCGATGATGCGTGTGCTCTGACCGGCCTCGCGCTGGTCGTGGTACGCCGACACCAAGAATATCTTGGTGTCGCGCACGCGCATCATCGACGTGTTCTGCAGCGCTCACCGTTGCCCGCACAGCGTCACGTGGTTGATCTTATCGGAAGCAGACCCCGGCTTTGGCCTGAAGACGGACGAGTTGCCGAGTGCATCGAGGTCGCGAACGAGGAAGCCCTTCCAGCTGTACATGTACCAGACGCTCAGCAGCAATGAGACGCTGAGCAGCAGCAGCGAGAGGAACAGGACCGGGAGGCGTAGCTTCATCATCCTTCGAGGCGTGCAAGGAGACAAGACGTCTGGATCAAATCTCTAGACCGCCGTCTCAGGACGAAAAGTCTGATATCGCTCGGCCTGTGATTACATTTACGTAAAAACACACACACAGAGAGCTTCGCGTTAAAAATGCACAACACTTTACACAATTCCATTTCAGGTAAACCTCACAGAAAAACAAAAGCTCTCCAAAATCAAAAGACTGTATTGGCTTCAGGGCGGATATGTACAGGTACAACTCTCTGCAAGTGAATGCAATATTTGACGCTTGTGTTGCGCCCGAAACGTCATGATTTAATTTAGTTGTTTTTATTTTTGTTTTATTTTATTTTTACATACGTGACTTTACCGAAAGAACCAAAGAGTAACCATACGATAACCTGGATATAAGCATGCGTTAAATGTATTACTAAACAATACGCTCCCAGCAGCACTGAGCCTGCAGCTGTCAGAACGGTGAAATTGTTTTTTATTTCTCTCAATTTCAACAGATGATCTAAATAGTCGTGGCCAATAATAATTCGTTTTACGCAAACGTCAACATATTTCTTTGGTGTTATTTTAGTCTTAATACTGGCCAATACTAATTATAAAATCTATTGAAATTGAGAGAAATACAAAATATTGTCAGCTAATTACACAGCCACCTCCACAACCAGAGCCGCAACCACCACCACCACCACAGCCACCACCACCACCACAACCAGAGCCACCACCACCACAGCCACCACCACAGCCACCACCACAGCCACCAACACAGCCACCACAACCACCACAGCTACCACCATCACAACCAGAGCCACAACCACCACCACCACAGCCACCACAACCAGAGTCACAACCACCACCACCACAGCCACCACCACCACAACCACCACAACCACCACCATAGCCTCCACAACCACCACCACAACCACCACCACAACCACAGCCACTACAACCACCACCATAGCCACCACAACCACTACAACCACCACTACCACAACCACCACCATAGCCACCACAACCACCACCACTACAACCACCACCACAACCACCACTACCACAACCACCACCACAGCCACCACCACAGCCACCACAACCACCACTACCACAGCCACCACCACAGCCACCACCACAACCACCACCACAGCCACCACCACAGCCACCAACACAGCCACCACAACCACCACAGCTACCACCATCACAACCAGAGCCACAACCACCACCACCACAGCCACCACAACCACCACCACCACAGCCACCACCACAGCCACCACAACCACCACAGCCACCACAACCAGAGTCACAACCACCACCACCACAGCCACCACCACCACAACCACCACAACCACCACCATAGCCTCCACAACCACCACCACTACAACCACCACCACAACCACAGCCACCACAACCACCACCATAGCCACCACAACCACTACAACCACCACTACCACAACCACCACCATAGCCACCACAACCACCACCACTACAACCACCACCACAACCACCACTACCACAACCACCACCACAACCACTACAACCACCACAACCACCACCATAGCCACCACTAACACGACCCCAGGCCGCCACCACCGCACCTGCCAGTCGAGGGCGTTGTGCTCCTGCTGCTGCTGTTTCTCTCCGTAGAAGCGCCGCTTCGCGTCGCCCTTCGGCTCGCACGCGAAGCTCAATGCAGCCCGCGGGCACCGGCGGCAGCAGCAGCACAGAGGGCAGCAGCAGTAGCAGAGGGCAGCAGTAGCAGAGGGCAGCAGTACAGAGGGCAGCAGCAGCAGAGGGCAGCAACAGTAGCAGCAGCAACAGAGGGCAGCAGCAGTAGCAGCAGACGGCAGCAGCAGCAGTAGCAGCAGCAGAGGGCAGCAGCAGCAGTAGCAGCAGCAGCAGCGGGCAGCAGCAGTAGCAGCAGAGGGCAGCAGAGGGCAGCAGCAGCAGCAGAGGGCAGCAGCAGCAGCAGAGGGCAGCAGCAGCAGAGGACAGCAGCAGCAGAGGACAGCAGCAGCAGAGGGAAGGGCCGCACCCGATTCAAGAGCTGAATGGCTCACAGGGTTATACCAAATACATGCAACTGAACTGAGGCCGCGTTGCCGCCAGCACCACGTGCTTCCTGCTGACCTCTGACCCCGCCGCGCGCTTCCTGCCGACCTCTGACCCCGCGCTTGAACCACGACCCCGCTGATTTATGGCTGATTGTGTTACGTTATATAAAACATATAAATATACCATATACACTTCGTATTCACAATGTACAGCTAAAGTTGACAGTGTAAATGTATTACAATATTCTTGGTTCTTTGCGGTAAAGTCACGAAGATAGAAAATAAAAATAATAAAATAACATAAATTTCGATTTAAAGCTTTCGTGACTGCAATGATTCATCTTCTTTGGTTCTTTCGGTAAAGTCACGTAGAATGAGAATAAAATAATAAATTGATCAAATAAAATAACACAATAATATTCTCACGACGTTTCGGCCACAACACAAGCGGCCTTCATCAGGTGAAGGGGGCGAGACTGTCTGGTAGGACAGCGCTGGAGTGAGAGAGCCACGTTCAGATCACGGCTTTTAAGCTGTGTGAGAGGAACAAAGAGCCTTGACGAAGGAATTAGCATAAAATTTAGCATTGAAATGGCTGAATGATTAGCTTGTGACTAGTCACAGAAATAGCTATGTTAAAAGTTAAAGCATACACATCCGCAGAGGCACCCATTGTTAAAAGGAATTAGCATAGAATTTAGCATTGAAATAGCTAAGTTAAGGCATACACATCCGCAGAGGCACCCCTTGACAATGGGATTAGCATAGAATTTAGCATTGAAAAGGCTGAGTGATTCGCTTGTAACTGCTACAGAAATAGTTACGTTGAAGTCAGAGCATACACATTCACCGAGGCACTTAGTACAAATCAAACAGGAGAATTTAGCATTGAAATAACTAGGCGAATTTAGCATTGAAATAACTGGGTGATTTGCTAGTGACTGGTCACAGAAATGACTACACATCTGAGCTATTCACAGTACTATATAGTGAACCAATAAAAACTAAAATATAAATTACCTTCATGTTATCAATAAACTCTATATTCTCCAATCAGCTAAGCTACCAACCATAAGTCGTTATATATCACAATGCTATATGGCGAAAAAATGGGTGGATTCTTACCCTCAAATTTCCGTACCACGGATAGCTACGGGCCCCGTTCAGACGGACGAGTTCGTCCATGGTCGGAACAGAGGAGGGGGAGAGAGACAGCTGCGAAGCCCTAGTATACTCCATGTTGTAAACCATACCATTAACCGTGGTGTGAGAGGTATTAAGAGGCAATGCTGGCGAAAGAGCTGCGGTCTGAAGGTCATCGTAAAATTACAATTAATTAAGAACAGAAATGATTTAACACATCTTTCCAGTGGTTACTAAGCCTGAATCCATCTTCTCGGTTGAAATTGTCTCTGTGCTTGTATATGTGAATGGCCTCATGAACGAATCTCTCATGGTAGCCAGTTGGTTTGCAAAGAACCTCCGTCTTGGAGAAGTCAATGTCATGTGAGCCCACTGAATTGTAACAGTGATCTGCCACGGCAGAGGAGTTCGTCTTACCGTGTTTCAAGTCTGCTTTATGTTCGCGGATGCGGTCCGAGATATGTCTTTTGGTTTCTCCAATGTAGCTACTACCACAGAGCCACTTTAGTTTGTAAACGCCCGGGTACTGTATGTCTGGAAGAGCATCTTTTACAGATGGAACTAAATCACGGATTTTGTGTACTGTGTTGAATCGGACCTGGATCTTGTGTTTATTCAGGATTTTGGAGATCTTTTTAGTGACCCCTGCAATGTAGGGTAAGGTGATGGTTTTGAGTGGCTCCACAAGAGGATCCTTCTTCATGACTGGAGTGATGGCTTTGCGGATTGTGTAGTCGGAGTAGCCATTAGCCCTGAGAGCCTGGTGTACGTGCTTGAGTTCACTGGTAATGTGTTCCTGGTCGGAAATGCATTGGGCTCTATGGTATAGAGTCTTGATGAGGCAGTTCTTCTGGGATGGATGGTGGTGGGAATCCGGTTTCAAGTAAGCATCTGTATGGGTAGCTTTCCTGTAGACAGAGTGGCTCATTGAACCATCATGTCTCCTTTTAATTAAGACATCCAGAAAGGGTAGTTTGCCATCTTTTTCGACCTCCATGGTAAATCTGATGGCTGGGTGTATGGAATTGATGTGGTCGCGGAATTGGTCTAGAGCAGGCTGGCCATGTGGCCAGATGACAAAGGTGTCATCAACGTACCTCTTCCATAAGGTCGGGCGTAGAGTGGCAGTCTGGATGGCGTCAGTTTCAAATTTTTCCATGAATACGTTGGCTACAACCGGAGATAGGGGGGAGCCCATTGGGGTTCCCTCAGTTTGTTTGTAGAAAGTTCCATTCCAGGTGAAGTATGTGTTGGTTAAGCAATGTCTCACCAGGGGGGGTACATCAGTATGCAGTCCTTGATGAACCAGGTCTTCAATGATAGCGATGGTGTCAGGTACCGGGACTTTGGTGAACAAGGACACCACATCAAAACTGACAAGCAGGTCGTTTGGGGACAGGGAAATGTCTTTGATTGTCGATACCAGGTGAGTAGAATTTAGTACCGCAGAGGTGGTTTTTCCAGTGAAAGGTCGCAGTATATCAGCCAGAAAACGTGCCAGTTTGTAGGTGGGGGAGCTGATAGTAGAGACGATGGGACGAAGGGGTGTATCTTCTTTGTGTATCTTTGGAAGGCCATATAATCTTGGTGGTCTGGCAGCAGAGG